TTCCTCAATAGTACTCCATTGTATTTGCTTAAAATTATAAGACTTTATAGCTATAATAAGTTATAAACTTTTCAATAAGTATATCATTTTAACGAGCATTCTATACAAAGTTTTTTTTAAGTAATAGTGAAATTTTGACAATTCACTGCAAACTAAGAACTAAAGAAATTGATGTACTTTTAGCCTCTCTTTCAGTAGAAAACATTTTTTTTGTAAGTAACAACAGACCAAGTATGTTGAAAGGCAACAAGACTATGTTGAATAATGATATTATTGTAATAACTCTGGCAGATGTCATTTATTGCTTATTAATAATTAAGAAGTTCTAATAATTATTAGTGCTTGTAACAATTTGGATTACAAGTAATAAGTTCAACTAAACCGGCAATTGATAATAAGTTTAGAAACATTCTATAATATGGTAAAAAAGCTGTTATACTATAGGGACGGTAGTGAAACTATAGGTTAAGTAGAAATAAAAAGTGATGCTTACTAGGAAACTTCTTATCCTGAAAAGCTGGAGTTGTCCAGTCCGATATCTATGATAAAAAATGATGGAACACAAATGTAAAAGTATTTTTCAAGTAATTATCAAATTAAATGAAAAATGTATATGACAACCTTGCCCAATCTGTCGCCTTTCGAAAATGGTTGATAAGGTATATCCTTGAATTGATCAGGTAATTCACAAGGGCCCCATCCGTTAGGGTTATGCTGAATTGCAGGCGCTTGAAAATGAGCAACTTCTTCTTCCTTCTGGACAGGATCGTCTAGAATTACCACGTCGTCCGTCATGCTATAGTTCTGTGGTATGAACAGGTATGAAAGACACAAGAGACGAAGAGATTGGAAGAGATGAGAGTGGTACGTTAGCTTGCCGGAAGAACCGGCGACGCCATTGTAGGAACAGGGAGTAAGGTGTGTTCATATGTCACATACACACCACATATACATACAACAACGGGTCCTACTTCTACACATCTCCAGGCCGCAGCTTAATTCGTTAGCGAGAGTCGATGTATAAATTTTCTTTGCTCTAATTGGCTGACGATTCACTGCCGAGACAGGATCCACTGCGGATTGGATGCGCAGTAAGATGGTGGGGAAATGCGCACCAGTTTAGGAAGTAAGAAAAGCGTGCAGGAGTAGGTCCTATTACCATATGTACACATTTGGATATAGGATATACTAGGACATATTCCAACATATTCGGATATACTAGGTCCCATTGCTGCACATTTTTCTTCCTCCCTAAACCAGCTCTTTTATTTCAATCATTAGTAAAATGAGTAAATTTCAATCGTTAGTAAATCCTGTGACAGCAGTGAATCATCAGCCAATCAAAGCAAAGGCAATTCGTATTTCGGTCATTCGATTCGCGTAAACTGAGCAAACTGTGGCCTTAGAGCTTATATAGGGTGTCTTATTTTAATCACTGCGATTATCTACAGAACTATTCGTTATTTGAAAGAATGTTTCATGTGAAACTTTTTCTGTTTTGAGGAGGATCTAATCCAATGCTGCCATTTTATTTGTAAGTGTACATTTGAAGGATGCATAAAGCTCACTTTTATTTTTTTTTTTATGGAATCATAAATTTTTTATACACGACTCGATGCTCCTCAAAATTCTGAATAAAAATGTATTAACTAGGGGTGTGCGAGAATCTGAAAATTTTGGATCGGGTCAAGACGAGAAATGTTTTCGAGTTCAGGATAGGTACCCAAAACTTTCAGGATTCCCGAAAGAATCAGGAATCTCGAAAGAATCGAGACTGTCGGTTTCAAGATTTACTTTAATAAGATCTGCATAAGTTTTAAATTTTCATGTCTTTTCGAAAACTACACTATAAAATTTATTCTTTAATGTAATTCTACATGAGATACATTTATTAATACTTTTAATATTATTAATGCAATGATAAAGTTGTAGGGATGTGTGGGAACACTTAAGGGTAGTGTTTGGGAGGATAACTTTTTGAGAGTGGACCTCGAACAACTCTAATAGAACAATTCTCGAGAGTTTTTATTCTCAGATGGACATCTGCCTTTAGAGTCAGCTCATCATTCTGGCCACGGTATATAATTTATTATTCGTATTCTTGTCGTGTTATTATATGTACACTTTAATATTTATGCAATTATCATAAAATTGAGTAGGTAAAATTGAACATATTTGAAGTTTCCATTATAGAAGTCTGTGGTGTTCTTTAAGGTGTTCCTACATGTAATTGTATATATAGTACATACAGTGATACCTAAGTTTCTGCAACACTCTCCGGCCGCAGCGTGCTCCGTTAGTGTAAATAGGAATGGAAATTGTTTTCCTCTGATTGGCTAACGATTCAATGCTAAGGCAGGATTCACTGCAGATTGGATGCGCAGTAAAATGGTGGGGATGCTTGCAAAAGCTAAAGGAGGTAGAAAAATCATGCAAAATCTGAAGCATTACTGTACATACTTATCTATCTGCACCTACATCGGATTGTGACGTCATCGAATGAGGTGTTATTTATAAAATTTCCAAGATTTCTCGTACTTTGAACTTGCCCATAATCTGTACTTCGTACCAATTACCGGTAACGTATTTTTGATGTTCGATATTTTTATAGCAAATCTGTGTGATTTTTATTATAAGTGTATTTCAGATAGAATTTGACATATTTGAGGTAAAATTTCATAACAAATTTGTCATCTTATTACAAATTATTAGTGTTTGTTACGCATTTAGTTTATCATTTACATTGTAAGTGTATTGAGTTATCTATTTTTAAATCATTATCGCAGGCATTGTAAGAACAATCTTTATGTAAGCAAATAAGTATTTGCAAAAATGATTTAAAAGGAAAAAGATATTGATACC